GCCCCGTCCGGCCCGAGCTTCGCGAGCTCCGCCTCCGCCGCCTCGGCTGCCCGGCGGCGCCTGGCCTGATCGCGCGCCCGAGCGACGCGCTCGCTCGCGAGCGCCGCCGAGCTCTCGCCGCCAAAGTGCTCCGCGTCTCGCCGGAGCGCCTTGATCATCTTGCCGGAGAGCCACTCGCGCGCGGCACCGACGGGGTTCTCGTCGCGCGGCGCCGCCCCTCCGGCCGCACCCTCTCCGGAGCTTCCGCCCGACGAGCGCAAGGTCACGTCGACGAAGCGGCCGACCAGGGAGCTCTTGAGGACGGCGCCTGTGCATGGGTCCACCGCTGGCGCCGCGAGGCAGACCACCCGTGGCCGCGGCGCCGACGACGAGGGGCCGTCGCCGCTCTCGCAAGCTGCGGCCTCGCGGGCTCGGACTCTCGCCTGCTGCACGTGCGCCATCGCCTCCGCCTTTCGAAACTCGCGGCTTGCCGTGTATGATGGCTCGGCCTGCAGCTTCGCCGTCGTCGGCAAATCGGTCTGCCGCTGGCCGCCCCCGCCGCGGCAGAGGCACATCACGCAGAAGCAGAGCGTGAGGAGAACCACAGCGGCGAGGATGCCAACGACAATTCCCAGCTCCGCGGCCTCGAGCTCGGACACGGTGGGGGCGTCCACTTCGAAGTGGTGCTCCGCCGCCTCTGGCTCAACGGCCCGCTCGAGACTGAGGCCGCTTGCAAATTCCACCGGTACAGCTGCTTTGCCCGCGTCTTCGCACTCGAGCCGCAAATAGACGTCGTCGTGCCCGAGCAGGCCACAGTTGTCGAGGTCGTGCCGCGTGCCGCATACCGAGGTGTTGCCAGCGGAGTGGCAGTAGGCGCCGAAGGGCGTGTCGGCTCCGCAGGCGGCGACGGTCCACATCAGCCACGGACACGATGGCGCCTCGACGAGGCAGGCGCCGCACTCGTTGGTCCAGCCGGTCGGGCAGGCGGAGCAGAGCAGCATGCTGAGACGGGTGGCAGAGTGGATGCTCAGCTGAGAACTGGCGCAGCAGCAAGCAAGGTGGGTGAACGCGGGCAGAGGATCCCGCAGCAAGGGCAAGGTGGGTGGAAGGATGGCGCTGTCCCGCTGATTTTTTTATTTTTTATTTTTTATTTTTTCAATAATCAGACTGAGTTAAATTCAAAAATTAGCGCTCTGCATGTCTGAGAGAGAAATTTAGAGAGAGAGAGAGAGAGAGAGAGAGAAGAGAGAGAGAGAGAGAAGAGAGAGAGAGAAAGATGTAAGTAAGGGCTCTCTTGCCCGCAACCCGATCCCGATCATCCGGCCCGCTGGGTGCGCTTCTGAGCTCCCCGGCCCTGGATGTGAGGCTGCCAACTGCACTCCAAGTGCTCCAAAAGATGTTGTGTGAGAGTTGAGAGAGAGAGAGAGAGAGAGAGAGAGAGAGAGAGAGAGAGAGGGAGAATACATTTTTTAATTTTATTTTCGCCTCGAGCTGTGCTTATCTCTCCCCAACTCCAACCCCTTCGCGATCGACGTTTAGAATTCTTTTGCCCGCCGACTTCGTTCCGTCCAGTTGAGCGTGAACACACAACCCCCCCCCCTCCCCCAGCGCGAGGAATTCTTTTTTGAGAGCGCCTTCGTTGTTAATAATACAAGCCCAATGGTCCCTTTCGAGCGGTCCCCTGTCGCAGTATCGACCGCGCTCTCTGGTGCCATCCGGGCCACGCGCGGCGCCGCGCGTGCCTCGCGCCACTCGCCTCGGCTGGCAGTACAGCGCCAAAGCCGCCTCGCAAACACCGCGCACAGCACCAGCATGCTGCCCACCAGGCAGCAGAGTGCTGCACCGGCGTGCAGCGGATGCTGCGGCGCTGCGGCGCCGCCTCCCCGCCCTGTCCACGGAGCAGGCGAGCGGCGGCACGGCCTTCCACCAGCTGCAGGAGGTGCGCACTTCCGAAAGGAAGCACAGGATGCTCCCTCCGCAGTCGCAGGTTTAATTCTTTTTGCTGTAAGAGAGAGTTGTTTTTTTGTTTAAATTCTTTCTAAATTCTTTTTTCGGCGGCGCGATAAAACCACCTCGCATGCCACCCACCTCGTCTCGACGAAGCCTCGGCGGCCTCGACGCCCAGAACTGCCGCGCGCGGCGCGCGGACGCGGGCCTCCTCCTGCGCCGGTCGAAGCGCGAGCTCGACCTGCGGCGGAGGCGCAGTGGCAGCGGCGGGCCGTCCTCGCTGCTCGAGGACCCGCGCGCTTTGGAGGGCGAGGAGGCGTCGCCACGATGGGACGAGATGGGGGTGGCGGAGCAGGTTGCGCAGTGCGCGATCCGCACCATCGACTACGTGCGCCACGGCCGGCACGAGGAGCGCGTCAGCGGCGGCGTAGCGGCGACCGAGAGGTGCGTCGGTTGCGTGCGGCGGCTGCGGCGGCTACTCACCGCGCCGGAGGAGGCGCCCATCGACGCGGTGATCCAGGCGGGTCTGGTCCCGGCGCTGGTTGAGCTCCTCGCCCTTCCTCCTCCAGAGTGCAGCTCTCACGCTCGGCGCGTCTCACTGCTACTCCAACCGCTTCCCTCTCTCTCTCCATCTCTCTCTCTCTCTCTCTCTCTCTCTCTCTCTCTCTCTCTCTCTCTCTCTCTCTCTCTCTCTG